AAACTTCCCCTAATCTTCACCCCAACAAATTTCTCACAGACACTCATACACAAAAGTCACAAGACATTACAGATTGTTTCTTGAGGAGTTAAGTGGCCGTACCTTGGATCATGACGTCTTTAAGACGTGAGATCTGACCTGTGTACTAGCCCTGACAACAGTCTGGTATCCAGGCTAGGGAGCCTATACTACAGTATAGCTAAGTACAGCTCTATACTTTTACACAACCTGGCACAAAAAATTTCCCCCAAACTTCACACATCATACCAGACACTTGTACACAACAGTCTCAAGACATTACAGATTGTTTCTTGAGGACTTAAGCGGCCGTACCTTGGATCATGGCGACTTAAAGACGCGAGTTTCACCACCGACAGACTCGTCTGATCAGCCAGCCTCTGAGGAAAATGGCCGGTCACTGACCTCTGACCTCAGCCGTCATGTGACCAGGCATGTGTAAACAACCCCGGCTGACACAGCCCAGCCGACCTTCGGCTGCTCCACAAACGACCTTGCTGCCTAAACTGGACGTTTTTACCTAAAAACTGACGACTGTTTGGTCTAGGAATAGCACGGAAATGAAAATATAAGGACATGCAGACTTATACTCTGATAATCTTTCACTCCTTTTCTTCACTAAGGCAAAAATAATGTGATATGCTGGTTTTAATCAAAATGAAATAAAACCTTCAGTGAACATACAATGATTATGTAATAACACTTAAACATCTACAATGTAGTTTTCTATCCTTTTTTAATTTGTTTTGTCTTGCATTTTACATCTATAAAAAATATGATGAAAAAAGACATTACATGGTATATTTAGAATGTTAATGCAAAGACTGATACGTTTTTTAATTTCTTTTTTCTTGCATGAGACTGATACAAACATAAGTCACAGATTTTTTTTTCTATCATGTGCTAATGACTGATCCAAACATATTTACTTAAAATAATCCAGGTTTTCCTTTCTGTCAGACCTGTCTACACTGTAAGTTGTTGACCCAGGTGTGGTACTGTGACTGGAGACAAATTGTTTTTTCTTGACACAAACAAAACTTCTAATGGTCTTTCTACCTGCAGGCTAAAAATGTGGAACACAGAGAAAAGCAACCAAACCTGTTTTGTTCTGTCGTCATGTAGCTACATGTATAGGTTATACAGTATGAATCACATATTGTGCTTATAAACCTGCATTTCTCCTCTGGTCTCTCAGTCACTGATGAAAGCTAGTGGATACTACCTGAAATGTCTGACCGTTTCCAAAATCATATCCAGTTGCTTGAGTAACTGCTTCTGGCATATCGTACAACCTGGATGTCTAACCTTCATTGACGTATGAATCACATTTTGTTCAACGTTTGTGACAACATTTCTAGGGATTATCTTGACTTTTTTTTGGTGTCTGTGAAAGACCAAAAGCTAAGATGTGTTATTTAAAGACATCCTATAGCAATTTCAGGGCAGCAACACTGGAAATATTCTGAGTAAGGCAATCTGTATGATATTGGCATATACTGCGCCACATTAGCATATTTGAATTTTACTTTGGGCTTTTAAAACTGCAGAAACAAGCCCAAAGATGAGTCCTTTATTTTCTGGGTGGTAATTTTCAGTACTTTAAAGTAAAACCATTTTTCGTCAGAATTTTTGGCATTTTTGATCCATGAATGTCGATATAGAGTACAATGGGACAGTGTGGTTTCAACTCAGTATGTAGATAAATGACTAGAATTATAATGACTTTGAAAAATCTGGTTTCCAGGCCCTAAAAACTGCGCTGAATGCCTTTAAAACACCGACATGAAATATTGATGATGTTCTGTTTTATATCAGACACACCCACACACTGTACTGTACATGTCATACCTATACAGTCACCACTCAGGCAATGTGACAAAAAGGCTAAACGCTCTGTCCAACACTAAGTAAATATATTGGGACTTGCCCATGCAAATTTTAAGCTAACTTCCGTGAACAAGGCTGACAGGGTTACCTGAAAATTTGGGTAAGTCCCAATTTCCTTTTTTGGGTGGACATGAAAAACTAATCGAGCTGATCGACCTTTTCTAGCTCCATGATCTGACACTTGAGTGATAAAACGTTGTACAATTGGTTTTCTAACATTGACATTGAAAATAAAAGTGTCCTCATGCAAGTTTTACTTGTTTAAACTGCATTGTATAAGTTGGACCCCTATATACATGTAAGATATCACTGAAGTCTTAAAAAAAAAGAAAGAAAAAAAAAAGATAATCTCTACCTACCGACCCTAATTTTTTCAGGACTGAAACAGGAAACAACATTTTTTTCTAGGCCTACGCCTAAGCTGAAGAAAAGGCCTTGAATCTTCCACAGCCCATATTAGGTAAGACTAACAGGTAGCAAACTTGTTGTTCCTGGCTGCTTCTTTAATTGGTACCTGCGGGTTAGCTAAGAAGCGCTTCAAACCAAGGGTTTTGTGCTGAGGCAAATCAGTCTGTCAGTCATTGTCACTTCCAGTTCACATGAAACACTGAAGTACAGGCTCCTTAGTAAGTCATTACTGCTGTCAATATAAACTGAGGTTCTAAGTCAGTCATTAGTAATTTACTGCTGTCAGTTGAGCTACAAAATGTGTCCAACCGAACGTTACAGAATGAGTGCCGTTTGCTGAATAAGTAATTTTATTCACTAACCAGACCTACATGGGGGCCCGCAAGCCCTTTTCCGTAGAGCGTAATTGGCCGTTTTAATTCTACGTAGAGTGTCGACGGACCGCTCTCTGCATATGGGGCCTGCCAGGGTTTCGAACCCAAACCTTTCGATTCTGAGTCAACAACCCTTTAAACCACAAGCCTACCAGCCACCTAACCCCCTAGTTCCACTTCAATCGATCTTTTAAACTTTTGAACCAACAATCCAAAATCCTTAATAAGTTCCAGAGGAATCCCCCAAGGGCACAGCGACCTTCACCCAGCTGACTGCTGACCCCTGACCTCACATGGTCAGAGGTCACCATGGATAATTGAATTATACTATTTTTATAGGTCCACTCCATTAAGAGGAGGAGGGGGGGGGGAACAACTTGACAGTGATATACTAGTACATAATACACTGTAAGGGCTCCAAATTCATTTGCGGGAATAGGTGCACTGGTGCACTCAGCCTAAAAACTTGGGTGCGCAAAAAGTTTTTGGTGCACCATATACATGTACTGTAAGATGAAGATAAGTAGAATGTCAGCAAAAACTAATTATGTTTCATTTCTAAAGAGAAGTACTATAAAATGATTTTATTAACTTCGGACACTTAAGAATATGCTGTATACTCATGACATACATTTGAAACTTTTTTTCAGGCTTTACATAATTTATCTAAACCTACAACAATATTTGAATATTTGGGTGCACCTGAGTGCAGTCACAGAAAAAAATTGCGTGCACAGCTCCAGACTTGGGTGCACTAAGGTGCACATGTACCCAGTATTGTTTACTGTACTGTTATGTTCACTGTTTTCACTGTCACTTCTGTACCGTGAACTTATCATTACAGTTAACAAATAATTCCTGGACTTTCTCTTTCCTGTACCTGTCACCACCGTGAACATATAATAGTTCTGTGAACATGTCCATTTTTCTCAGACCGTGAAATTTTGCTACCGTGAACATGAAGTGAATTACAGTATTTCCAGCCCTGCACCCAGACTGCGACATACAGTCTGGACTTGGTTTCCCCATGTGGTTTGGGTCAGGGCTTTTCCTTCTTCTGTATGTTTTATTTATGGTAGTCACGCTTTTGGACCGGAAGGTTGTGGGTTCGAATCCCAGCCATACCACTGTAGCCTGGATACCAGACTGTTGCCAGGGTCTACACAGACCAGCTCCTCGGCTCCAGGGCCAAGCAAATTTTACCACAGCTTGTACAAGCCCTGGAAACAGACTGGCACCCAGGCTAACTTAAGGGAAGCCACATAAAGAAGTTTAGATCTTCTTTTGCCTCCATCAATTCAGGTGAAGCATGATGCAGATTTTTACCTACTTTGCTCCATGCCTGGCCATTCTGGGCACTGCAATACATTTTGTAAGTTGGTGTGAGCTGTAGGTGACTATGCTACTAAGTATATAGGAGAAGGCAGTGAATGTCCAGGTTTTGAAGGCTTGTGGGTGGTATTCAGGAAGAAAACACTTGCCAGGGTGTTCCATAATTTTGCAGTTGATGGAAAAGATACTGCTGCCATAGACATGATAGAAGGACTGTCTTATAGACTTGTATTTGGACAGTGACAACTACATACATGTAGATATGAGGTACAAGAGCTGGTGACACGCTGAAAAGCTCTTTGGCTACCCTTATCCTGAACTGACCCTGTGCAAAGGATAAACACACGCACCAAATATACATGTACATGTCTGTAGCAGACACATATGCATGAATCTGAGAGGCTGCCAGGTTATTTTGGGATTCAATTGTTTTGCTTCTGAAGTTTTCTCTACAGAATCAGGCAGCCGAGAGTCCTGATCAGACAGTGCTCAGTGCAGACGCCTGATGTGTGACTGTTTTGTTAAAAAGCTCAATGTTGAAAAGACAGACTTTCATTTCACTGACTAGACGTTTTTCTAATGCAGTACGTTTTATTTTCTGTATAGCTACATGACGTACATGTAATACTAATAGATCTAGCAACACAAATTTTGACTTGCACATTTCTTTACCTGTATCAATCATATAATTATCAATCAATCAATCAATCAATCAATCAATCAATCAATCAATCAATCAATCAATCAATCAATCAATCAATCAATCAATCAATTCAATTGGCAATAAATTGATCCCATTCTGGATTCACATAATGATTGTTATTGCTTCAATACATTTTCTAGATTATTGATTGGTTAATAAATATGTATGATGGACACATTGATTCAAACCATCCCTTCACCTTAACTCATGCTAATTAATAATCAGTACTTAATACTGATTGGTTAATTGTTGGTCAGAATGAGGAAGGTCCTTACCCCCATGTGTGTAGGCGTCTGCCAACAAGGCTTCTGCAATAATACGGAAAATCTGGGGTTAACAAAGGGGGCATTTTGTAAGTAAACATTTTTGCAACAAAAAAGGAAATATTTCATTATTCAAAGATATATTTGTAATTGTGATTGTAATTTACTGTCTTCCACCTTTCAACATATTTGCACCAAAAATGGAAATATTTAAATTTTATTATTTAAAGGTATATTTGTGTTATGGCAATTTAGTAGTAACTTCAACTTTCTGAAATATTTGTGCAATTATCTCACATTTGTAACAAAAAAAGCATCAATGTAGGTGTGCCGAAAATCCAACATGTTATCCAAGACCACACTTCAAGTCAATTTCTGCCACATCAATATCTTAGATGAAGTTTTGTAACATTTAAATAACTTACATGTCAGATAACAGTAATGTAGCTGTGAACATTTTAAACAAAAATTTGTACATCTATGAACGCAACTCAGCTTTAAGCTGCAATGTTCGTGATTGATCAATACACCATTTTTGATTCATTGATTGATTGATTGATTGATTGACTGACCCTGCTAACCCCCCAACCCTCCGTCCCTAACTTGTAAGTAGCCAGGTGAACTTTCTGACCTGCAGCTTCAGTTGTGCTCATCAAATGTTCACAGCCGACTAACAATAACCCAACAGAGTGGAACACAGGCTTGTGGTGCCCACAACAGGCTACAATGGTCAAAATGTCCAGACTGTGCATGATGTACAAATTAACTAACAAACTTGCGAACGTACCACTACTAGTAAGTATCTGATCCCAGCCTAGAAAAGTACAAAAAAACAGTCATGCCTTCAAATATCAGAGTTATCAACCAAGAATTTAGGTGTTCAAAAACTTGTATATTGAACCCCTAGCCAGCTGATTTTTCCACTCTGCAAAATTGCAGGTTGCTTATTTTATTAATTTTTCTTCTGCAACATTGAAAATGTCTCTGCAAAATGCAGACTGCAGATGGGTATTTCTAACACTGCATCCATATATCATTTACCTGTAAGGAATAAATGTAAAATTCCTCCCCTACGGCATGCATTATTATCTACCATAACACTACACTACAATAACTCATACCCTAGTCATACTGGCTACATGACAATATAATTACACTAATCTTAGTCTTGGCACATACATGTATATCCATGCCACAGAACTACACAGTGTACTAAATGGTACATGAAAGCACTTCTTTGGGGAGACATAAAATAAATGGTTTCGCAGCAGAAACTGAATTGTGTGCGACATTTACTTACTTTAACTTAAGTTTAAGACCCAAATTACGTACAAGTATATACGCATCACTTGAATAGACCAGTATGAATTCAGACAAGCATAGTCATTATGGTTGGCATTATTTAAACTTGAATAATATGGTACATGTACGAGAGATACTATCCAATAACATATGGGTTTCTAAACCAAATTTATATTCCACCACTATTGGGCCTACTAGTAGGAAAAAAAAAATGTTGTGTTTCCTGTTTCCGACCGACCCTAGAAAAACCTGCCGACCCTGGACTTGTTTGGGGTGGACCCCTGCTGCAAGGGACATAATTTTTCGAGCTGAACAACCTTTTCTACTAATTCTAGCTCCATGATCTGACACCTGAGTAATAAAACGTGATAGTGATAAAATTGTTTTTCTAACATTGAAATTGAAAATAAAAGTGTCCTCATGTAAGTTTTACTTTGTTAAACTGTAAGTGTAGTATATAAGTTGGACCCCTATACATGTATGTAGATATCACTGAAGTATAAAAAAAAGGAGGAAAAACAGATAATCCCTACCAACCCTAATTTTTTCAGGACTGAAACAGGAAACACAACATTTTTTCCTAGGCCATACCAGTTACTATAAAAATCTTGTTTTCCCAGTCAGCACTACCCCGTCACTTCTGTCATACATGTTGTTAACAGGCAGTAATTTTACATTGACGTCAGCAGAGGAGAAATGATACCACAGGATGGTAATTATTGTGTTACTGCCGTGGAGAGGGAACACTTCAGAACTACATAATTTTTATCCACTTATTCTGCCTACATGGATCTTTCACAGTCTTTATCACACTCATACCTATTATCACTCACGATTAACCAGGGCTGGAAATTCATTTTTTGGTAATACTGGTGCACAGGTGTACCCAACCTAAAAAATTGGTGCACAAAAAAATGTGCACCATATACTTTAAGTAGAATGTCAGCAAAAACAGTCAGAAAATGTCAGAATGTCAGCAAAAAGAAAATGTTTCTTTTTAAATAAATGCACTACAACAAATGATTCTTTTTATTCTTAGATATTAAGAATATGCTACTATACATTTAACATTGTTACATACGTAAACCTACGAAAATATTTGGGTGCACTGGTGCACTCATAAAAAATTGGGTGCACAGCTCCAAATTTGGGTGTACATGTACTAAGGTGCACATGCAACCTGTATTTCCAGCCCTGTTAACACACAGCCAGCATACAATGACTTTTTGTACAATGTACAACGTACATATAATATAACAAAGTACTGTATGCAGCACAGGGCTGTAGCCAGCACCAGTTTTTCCTCAATTACCAAAACTTTGCGGCGTGTAACGGAAATTTTTTAAAACCACCTCGACAGACAAAATTAACAAAATCTTGGGTAAAAATATGAAAACATCCAAAGGACCACCGACAACCACTCTCAACACCATGATTTGCCTCTCAAAATGCGAAAAAAAAAATTCAAGCTGGCTGGAGCCCTGGTGCAGCCAAGTTACATGTAGTTAAACCTTTCTCCAAGACTTGTTTTATCAGACTTTCAGTTAAGGTAATCAGGACTGTGCCCTTCAAACCCTTACAGATAGTCTGAAGGTCAACCAGCATCTTAAGTAGATTGGAAATGGTCTCTTTAAGGAGCAAAATGAAGACTGTCGGACAGAAGGGGCAATTTCAATGACTTACATGGTTCTGGTCACTACAGACAGGACCCCAATTATTGACTTCCTTACTAGTAATTAAGAAACTCTTATATCAAATTAACAGAAATCACACACAGTACACACACACACACAAACACACATACAATCACACACACACAGACCACGAGACTGTATAATGACTCTAAATAAGCATGTTGCCCTATAGTCTCCAGTCTGTTATAATTATAATTAAGATAGTAGTTGTACCAGTCTGTCCCACCCTGTCCTGTCCTGTGTGACAGTTTCTCACCCTGCAGCTAAAAACCCTCGCCTCATCAGGCTTTGTTCTGCACATTCTTGTTGTAGCCAAAATATTCGCCACACAAACGTTCGCCACAAAACAATCGCTACAGAAAATGTTTGTCACAAAATCGCTACAGAAAATGTTTGTCACAAAATCGCTACAGGAAATGTTCATCACACAATCGCTTACAGAAAACGTTAATGCCACAGAAAATATTTGCCACATTAACTATTTGCTACAGAAACTGTTCGCCACAGAAATATTCGCCACATTAAATATTTGCCACATTAAATGTTTGTCACAGAAAATATTCACCACATTAACTATTCACTACAGAAACTGTTTACCACAGAAATATTCGCCTGACAAAAACTATTTTCACAGAAAATGTTTGCCACAGAAAATGTTAGCTACACAGAGAACATTCACAGCAGAAAACACAGACTGCTGACAAACAGTTATGTTAAATAAAAATTCCTGCAATCTGCCATTTCGCAGGGAACACGTACAAATTCTGATTCCATTTTTTTTGTTGCTTAATATATTTGACATGTACAAAAACAGTATTCAAAGGTAATGGCAGGTATTTAAATATTGGATCCACTCTATATGACTAGAAGTGAAACAACAAACTCTGCTCTGTTCTAGAGTAACATGCTACAATGTATAACTACCCTCCAAGGGTACGTTTATTGATTTTTATACTAAATCATTGATGTGACAAGATTTTAGTTCTGTGACCTTGATGTAGTCACACTACCGTAGTGACCAGGCACTAAAGACCGTCGGGAATATGAATGTTTTTTTATTGAATTGTTTACAAAATGTTATGATCAAAAAAGTTGTTGGAATAACTGTTCAACATGGAATGTAAGAAAATATGTGGCTTATTTCAGCCTGTGATCTACTAGACTAAGTACATGTATGTCTACTGTAAAATTATTAATTTTTGTTCCTTCATTAATTCCTTCAAGAGTGATGTTAAAATCTATTTGTAAATCTATACTCTGGTAGCTTTTTTTAATTAAGATATAAACACTACAAGGATATAAGCTTAACAACTACAATATCAATTAATTCACAACTGTCTGTTGCTTGAAATGTTCATAGAAGTGTGTAACACTGATTAGAAGTAACAAGCACACAGTATTCCCAACTGTCACAAATCCACACAGTCACCACCATATTGGCAGTAAAACAAAGCCTAACAAATCAAATCTAATCTAGTCAATCTACAGCTGTAAAAACAGCCCCACAAAGCAGCCTGCAGGTAGTAATGTGCACACGTGAATCTGTAATATTGACTACTGCAGTAACATTCTTGATTCGCTCACTCATTTATATTTGTTCATTCATTCAAGAGTGCTGTTTAAATCTATGCAGAAAACCATATTCTGATATCGTAAGAAAACTAAAATTTTAGCTAAGTTAAAACACTACAAATTAGGATATAACCTAAACTACAACAATTACGTTCACAACTGTCTGTCATGGATATATCTCTGTTGTTTGATCATTATGATATGTTCATAGAAACACATACTAGTAACTAGCACCCAGTGTTCCCAGCCTATAGCTAATGTTACAAACCCACACCCCACACACAACCAGTTAAACAAGGCCTAACAAATCAAATCTAGTCAATCTGAAGCAGTAAAAACAGTCCCACAGGCAGCCACAGGTAGTATAATGTGCACACGTGAATCAGTAATATTGACTACTGCGGTGAAATTCATGCCGTAGACTGAGTTATGACGACAGTAAACAAGCCACAATCCAGCCTCCTGCTGTCTGTCATA